AGTGGATAAAGGAGAAAGCTGAGAAGTGAAGGATTTTAATTGAATGAACTGAGTGCGGTCAGATAGGTATGATTTAAACCAGGCTAGTGGAGTGTGAGAGAGACCAATAGAAGCTAATCTGCTAAGGAGAATGGGATGAGAGATTGTGTCAAAAGCTGCACTCAGATCAAGAAGAATAAGGATGGATGTCGCCGACTTGTCTCAGCTTCTCTTTCATGACGCGCTGCTTTGTCAGATTTTGGTCTAATTCACTTTGTCAGAAATGTTTTTTGTCTGTTTAGGAGATTTTTTTTTATTCATTTCTGGTTTTCAGCTCTGGCAGCATTAATGCTTAAAATAGGAAAATTAAACTCAGCCTTCCAAAAGATTTGCTTAATCACAGTGTGTGTCTGTGTTTGGATAAATAATCTAAAAACTACCTTTTGTGTTACTTCGTTATTTATATTTGTTTGATGATCTGAAACATCTAAATGTGACAAATATGCAAAAAACAATGAAATCAGGAAGGAAGAGAAATACTTTTTCACAGCATTGTTTAAAACGCACAAACATCAGCATCACAGATGGAAACATGATGAGTGGGAATCAAACCTGGAACAAAGATCTCGTCAGCAGCTCGGTGGCTGAGCTCCTCCTGCGTGGCTACACAGAGGAAGAGGCTGCTGTTTGTCCTGGTCACCGTGGTGAGGAGGGTGATGTCATAGCGCTCTCCTGTGCGTGACACCTGTGGCTCCTCAGCAGGAAGGATGTTCCCATCGCTGTCCCTCCACTCTACTTTAGGCTTTGGAGAAGCTCCTCTGACCTCACACTTCAGCAGCGCCTCGTCCTCGCTGATGTTCAGGATCCCAACAAACGGCTTCGGAGCTGCACCTGTGAACACAGCAGGAGAAAGAGGACACTCCATACTGTTTCAGGTTGGAATGACTTCTTAGGATGATTGCAGAAATGAAAGACTCACCAACAACCAGGGTGACGTTAAATGTTTCTCTGTCCGGTTGATGAAATGGAAAATCACAGGTGTAGTCTCCACTGTCGGCCACCGTGGTGTTTCTGATGATGATGGAGGCGTTACCAAACTTCAGCTGGTCTGAAAAGTGTGACACGCGTCCTCTGAAGCGCTCGTCTTGACCTGAACGTCTGTTATTATGATGGAGGCCGGCGTCGTACACAAACACCTCCCGCTCATCGTCTTTCTTCCAGTGAAAGCGCGTTCGTACGAGGCTCTCCTGGGAGCTGAGCGAGCACGGCAAGATGATGTAGTTTCCTTCAGATACAACCACCACGACGGTTCCTCGCCCTGAAGAATGAAACATATTTAAATCATTATGTTTAAACACAGAACAAATGCAGATAATTCAGAGATAAGTATTAAAACATCACATTCCTCCAGCACATCACACACACTCATACTGTTCCTGCACAGGCTTCACTGCTGAAGACATCTGCTAGTGTGTTGATCCACTCGTCTGATTCTCACAGCTCATCACAACAGTTTGTTTTTTCAGTCAAAACCATCTTTTGCAAACCAAATGTGTCACTTTGATGATGAGTTTGTGCCTGTGTCTTAACTGTTTGGAAAATTTGGACTTTGCTGTCATGCAGCAGGCAAGTCAATCAATGTGTCACGAGTCCTTGTTCGGCTCTATAAATACATAACCACTTTACGTTGACAAGCCCCTAATTCCCTCTCCCCTCCCTATCTCCGCCCGGCGCGCATATGCACTCCGGTCGGGAAGAATATACAATCCGACCGGCGTGCATATTTCCCGACCGGAGTGCATTAGTACATATGTATCTCTGACCGGTGTGTATTACATCCTTTCCACGACCGGCGTTATTATGTTCCCCGACCGGCGTGCATTACATTCTTTCCCCGACCGGCGTGCATTACATTCTTTCCCCGACCGGCGTGTATTACATTCTTTCCCCGACCGGCGTCAAACCGAGGCAACAGTTTTGAAATCAACATAGATATTATATCGCGTGGGTACTGCTATATCATTGTCATATCTTTGCAAAACAGAATGGGTTTGTGGGTTCATTGAGACCATCTGTCCGCACTCCGCTCTGGGATAACGCCGGTCGGGGAACAATAACGCCGGTCGGGAACATAATAACGCCGGTCGGGGAAAGAATGTAATGCACGCCGGTCGGGGAAAGAATGTAATGCACGCCGGTCGGGAACATAATAACGCCGGTCGGGATAAACGCCGGTCGGGGAAAGAATGTAATGCACACCGGTCGGGAACATAATAACGCCGGTCGGGAACATAATAACACCGGTCGGGAACATAATACGCCGGTCGGGGAAATAATGTAATCCACGCCGGTCGGGGAAAGAATGTAATACACGCCGGTCGGTAACATAATAACGCCGGTCGGGAACATAATAACGCCGGTCGGGGAAAGAATGTAATGCACGCCGGTCGGGGAAAGAATGTAATGCACGCCGGTCGGGAACATAATAACGCCGGTCGGGGAAAGAATGTAATACACGCCGGTCGGGAAAGAATGTAATGCACGCCTGGTCGGGGAAAGAATGTAATGCACGCCGGTCGGGAACATAATAACGCCGGTCGGGGAAAGAATGTAATGCACACCGGTCGGTAACATAATAACGCCGGTCGGGAACATAATAACGCCGGTCGGGGAAAGAATGTAATACACGCCGGTCGGGGAAAGAATGTAATACACGCCGGTCGGGGAAAGAATGTAATGCACGCCGGTCGGGGAAAGAATGTAATGCACGCCGGTCGGGGAAAGAATGTAATGCACGCCGGTCGGGAACATAATAACGCCGGTCGGGAACATAATAACGCCGGTCGGGGAAAGAATGTAATACACGCCGCGGGAAAGAATGTAATGCACGCCGGTCGGGAACATAATAACGCCGGTCGGGGAAAGAATGTAATACACGCCGGTCGGGGAAAGAATGTAATGCACGCCGGTCGGGAAAATGTAATGCACGCCGGTCGGGAACATAATAA